TATCAAATCAGCCAACCTGACCTTCAAAAAGTTTTTGATAGACCACATGATGAGGGGGGAATCTGTAGTACAATTATATAAAATAAACGCAGCGTAGAAAGTTTGCCTAACTTTGGGCGACGTTATAAAGAAGAAATAAACCAATTAAAACAAAACACTTACAATTGTAATTAAACCATTATGAGAGGATTATTAACCTAATGTAGGTGATTATGAACTCATTTGCAGAATTTTTTTTTTGTAAGTTAAATAACCGAAGCATGGAAGGAAAAAATATAGATATATAACATCAAGGGTGTGAAAATTGGCAATAAAAAATATTTTTTATCCCCCCAAATTAGGTATGATAATAGTAATCCTTGCATTTGTTACGCCTTCGAGACGCCTCAAAGCTTGACACAAATATGCTGTAAACTGATTTGGCTGTGTATTTTGTGATGTACTTAATGTAATTTTTTTTGATAAAGGGAAGGATTGAGTCACACTTGCTGTGTCGTACTGTGCGCTCTGTCACTTGCTCTCTCCCCACCTTGCACGCGGGAGGCGGGAGGGCGAGTGCAGACAGAGAGCGAACTGATTACCCTTGAGAAAGTCTTGAGAGAGAGCGCGCGAGAGAGAGAGAGAGCGAGAGAGAGAGCGAGAGAGAGAGAGAAAGAGAGAGAGAGAGAGGATCAGGTTATTACAACACAGGAAAAGACCAGAGCAGCTTCTCAGCTCCAGCAAATCCAATGCTGGGGGTAGGTGGACTCTCCCATTATCTCTCTCCCCCTCTCCCTTTCCCTTTCCCTCCCCTTCTCCTTTCTGTGTCTTTCCCTTTCTCTGCACAAGAATCAGGGGAAGATCAGCCCATTAGTATTCCCCTCTTTCCTCCTTTTTTTCCCCTAAATCCTCCCCCAAAAATCGACAATTTCCCCCCCCCCCATCTCTATCCCAATTGTGTGCCTACTATTCTCACACAAGGTCATTCATTCCAACACACACACACAGTGTCTGCTCTCTGTCTGTCTGTCTGTGTGTCTGTGTGTCTGTCTGTGTGTCTCTCTCCTGTCTCAGCCTCTTTGTCTGTAGATGGGTTTGGGTTGGGACAGGCAGTCTAGTGTCTCATGAGCCTTTTAGGGAGCTATCGGAAAAAGACCAACCATGTTGGCTACCAGTCACTACAGCTGGTGGATGGGAACAGGGCAGTGGGCAGGAGGCTGGAGGCAGAGGTGCTGAGCTCAGCCCCCAACCCAACCCCAACCCCAACACCACCCAACGGCTCAGCCTCCACACAGCCACAGTCAGCCCGGCTCAGCACCATGGACAGCGCAGGTAAATGGCTGCTCTCACCGGCTCAGGGGCCTGGGGGGGGGGGGGGGGGGATGCTCATGTGGTGCAGGTGCCTTCTGCAAATTCCTTCTCTCTCTCTCTCTCTCTCTGTATGTAATACAATGGTCATATAGTGTGTGTGTTTATATATATAGTGTGTGTGTGTTTATATATAGTGTGTGTGTATATATATTGTGTGTGTGTATATATATAGTGTATATGTGTATCAGTGTGTGTGTATATATATATAGTGTGTGTATATGTATATATAGTGTGTGTATATGTATATATAGTGTGTGTGTATATATACTGTGTGTGTGTATATATAGTGTATATGTGTATACAGTGGTCATATAGTGTGTGTGTATATATATAGTGTGCATATGTATATATACATATATACAGTGTGTGTATATATAATGGTCTTGTGTATAAAATGCTGTTCTATACTTTAACAAGCTTACATGTATAATAGATATAAGTGTTCACTATATAACAGTGGCTCTATTATATATATGTGTGTGTTATATATTTATATATAGGCTTCTATTACACATTTATACACATGGTTTATATATGATACATAGACCATTATAGTACAATGTGTATGCATGTGTCTATATATCATATAATGAATGCTCCATATATATATATACAGTGTAAGGGTCAATATATAATTTATAGTGTATTTTAGATAAAATACATTTAATTTTTTCACTTTTTCACATCTGCAAGTTTAACTGTGATTTATAGAATGCAGTTATATTCACAAACCTAGAAGTGATCAAACCTATAAAGTCCCTCAATTCGACAGTAACAGATATTTTTATTGTTTTACAAATATATATGTTTAACAGGAAATGTGCTGTGGTTTCGTGTTGTGGGTGTGAGGAGCTGTGGGTGGGAGAGCGAGCACCGGCACAGACACAATGGGGAAAGAGCAGGGAATGGGGTTAGAGTAGAGAGTTCCAGTGGGGGAGATGTGGCCTTTGTCCTGATTTCCACGTCGCACAAATTTATTAAATGGGGAACCTAAATGCACGGTTGGTTGGTGGGAACTCAGTGTTTGTTTCCCTGGGAGGAATCTGACTTGCTAAATGGTCTGCGGGGAAGATCGCAGCGTCGGAAAAAGAACTCCTCCTGGGATTTGGTGGCGTCGTTATTCTATCAGTTCCAGTCTACTTGTGACCTTTTTCTGTGTTCTTCCCCCACCTTCCCACACCCCCTGGAGCGCTCTACTCTAATTCCATTCCCTGCTTTCTCCCCATCATGGAGTCCTATAGCTCAGTGGTTAGAGTACTCGCCTCGCAAGCGAGTGTTCTGGGTTTGAGTCCTGGCAGAACAAAATGTTGGGGAAGTTTCCTAACTTTACACGCCTCAGTTTACCTAGCTGTAAATAGGAACCCGATTGTTAGTTGATTAATGAATCGGTTTTCCAGGGGTGATAATTCCTTCAAAAAAAATTGGTCACTCAATCTACGACTGTTTGTGGGACACTGCTGTGCGCAATTGGCTGCTGCGTTTTTCCCACAAGATGTAAATCACTTTATACTACATAAGTCAATTCGCTTTACAGTATATCCTGTGAAATGCTTTGAGACGTCTCGAAGATGTGATAAGGCGCTACATCAAATGCAAGAATTATTATTTTTGTCTGTGTTAATGACTCCTGTATAAATTGCCCGATCACTTCATGACTGTTTGCAGAACTTTGCTGTGCACTAATTGACATTTGCCAACACAACACAGTCACTATGCGTGATAAGAATTCCCTGTGAAATGCTTTGAGGCATTGCAACATCACAGGCGCTGGATTATATATCGCTGACAGCAGACAATTGGAAGCTGCTTGTTCTATTAGACAATATCTGTGAAGCGCTGCATCAAACGCCAGCGGTGGGGAATTTGGAAGGGTGAGACCAGTGATTCCTGTGTTTGGCTTTCGACCTGTGGCTGGAGTTGTTCAAGGGATTTGAAGTCATGAGGCACTGGCTGACCCAGAAGAAAGTCTCGAGAGAGCAAGAGAGAGAGTGTTCCTAGGACTGTTTGTTTAGAGATTTCCTTTGTTAGTTGATGATGTAACCTGACCTCTTCCGTGTCTCTCCCCCCCCATTAGATTACATTTAGTACATCTCAGGTGTCTTATTTCCTTTAATGGAATGGCAGTTTGAGTTTCCCTGTAGTACAATTGCTTCTCTCCCCAGCACTTGCCCTGGTCTGACTTCTATGGGTGTAGCTGTCAGCCTGGCTCCCCTCGGCCAAAAGGTTGTGGATTCAGGCTTGATGGCGGAAATTTGAGCTCATGGTCCAGGCTGATGTTCCAGCGCGGTGCTGTGTGTCCACTTATTTGGTCACCTCAATCCACGACTGTTCTGTGGGACACTGCTGAGCGCAATTGGCTGCCGCATTTCGTCCACAAATTACACTGTCACTCCACTTTACACTGCATCTTGTGAAGCGCTTTGAGACGTCCCAACGATGTGATGAGACTCTATATCAAATGCAAGGGTTATTACATAATATTATTATTATGTATTACATGCAAGGATTATTATAATAAGGGCGGGGGGTCTTTACCCTGGTTCCCTGACTAATTGGCATAAGCAGTCAGTCTGGACTGTGAGCTTTTGAGCCAAGTGAAGCCCCCGGTGAGGTCTGGGGGCCAGTTTGCTTTTCAGTTTCTTTTCAGTAAAATTCTTTTAAAGTTTCTTTTCCTTAAAATTCCTGTCCCGGCAATATGAGCTAGATAGTAGAATCTTAAAGGGGGTGAAGGAACAGAGACATCTGGGGGTTCATATAAGTAAATCTTTGAAGGTGGCAGGACAGGTAGATAAAGCTGTTAAAAAAGCATATGGGATATTAGGCTTTATAAATAGGGGCATAGAATACAAAAGTCAGGAAGTTATGATGAATCTTTATAAAACACTGGTTAGGCCTCAGTTAGAGACTGTGTTCAGTTCTGGGCCCCACACTTTAGGAAGGATGTCAAGGCATTGGAGAGGGTGCAAAGGAGATTTACCAGGATGGTACCAAGCATGAGGGACTTCAGTTATCAAGAGAAGCAAGGATTATTCTCTTTAGAGCAGAGAAGGTTAAGAGGAGACGTGATAGTAATTTTCAAAATTATCAGGGGATTTGATAGGATGAACAAGGAGAAGCTATTTCTACTGGCGGGTGGGTCGGTAACCAGAGGATACCAATTTGAAATAGTTGTTAAAAGAAACAGAAGGGAGGTGAGGAGAAATGTTTTCACACAGTGAGTTGTTGGGATCTGGAATGCATTGTCTGAAAGGCCGGGGGAAGCCGATTCGATAACAACTTTTAAGAGAGAAGTAGATAATTATCTGGTGAGAACAAGTTTGCAGGGCTATGGGGAGAGAGCGCGGGGGAGTGGGATTCATTTGGATAGCTCTTTTCAAAGAGGTAGCACAGACATGATGGACCGAATGGCCTCCTTCTGTGCTGTATAATTCTATGATTCACTCGTGGGAAATCTGCTCTGGAAGCAACTGTGGGACGCCCCCCTCCCTTTAACCTTGTCTCTCTCTCTCACACACACACACACACCCTCCCCACCCATAATGCGTTGGAACAAGAAACCCAACAAATCCATCTGGAAGGTTTGCTGTGGTGGCTGGGGTCTGGTGCTGTGACATTGCAGATGTGTTTGTTTCCCTTTCTCAGACGCCTCCTCTCCAGACATGGAGCCCACCTTCGGGGGCGGGCTGCTGGACATCGTGAAGGGCGGAGCTGGCCGTCTCTTCAGCAATCTGAAGGACAACCTGAAGGACACCTCCTCCAAGGTCATCCACTCCGTGGCCAGGTACGTCGCTGGGCCATACGGCCACTGTAAGTCTTCCACCCGTCAGCCTGGCTCGGTCACTCACACTCTCGCCGTTAGTTCAGGAGGTTGAAGCTTTGGGCTTGAGATCTTGTACTCTGGGTCTATTGCTGTCTGGACTCCGACATAGTGATTGGCTTGTGTGAGGCAGGATGGTATCTGTACACCATCTTGGCAGTGAAATACAGGAACAAGTGAGGACAAGGAGAGGGGTGTCTAATCGCCAGGTTAGACCGTGGCAGATGATCCCTTTTCATTGCCCTCCATCTCCCTTTAACACACCCTGATCTATTCTCTGTTTACCGAGCAGTAAATAGGAACCAGATTGTTTGTCGATTGGCGGTTTGTTTCCCAGGGGGTAATATTCCCTTCAAAAATTGTTTTCAAAAAAATTGTGATAATGTTGTCACTCAAACCATGACTGTGTGCGCAACGCTGTTGTGTACAATCGGCTGCTGCATTTCACCCACACAATGCACGGTCAATTCACTTTACAGTATATTCTGTGAAGTTCTTTGAGACGTCTCAATGATGTGATAAGGCGTTATATCAAATGCAAGTATTATTATTGTTATTATAAGACCCTCACTGCCTGTTGTGTGTCTGCCAGTCTTATCAGAGATGGGAAGCAGCAGGGAAGTTGCATCTGGTTAAGATCTTACTGTCTCGGCTTTGACTTTCTGAGTATCAACACCAACACATTACATTTATCCAGCGCCATTCACGTCGGAAAGACATCCCAAGGCTCTGGACAGTCAAGGATTTGCACCCGAGCTGGGGGTTGGGAGTAGGAGGGGTGAAGGGCAGGGAGGGTGGGTGTAGGAGGGTGACCGAAGGAGTGGTCGAAGAGGGAGGGTTTTGAGACGGGCCTTGAAGGAGGCAAGGGAGGGTGGGATGCGAAGAGACTGGGATGGAGTTCCAGAGGGTCAACTGCTGAGACTTGTTCAGTAATCTCTTGCTTTGTTTCTGCTTGGTTTCAGTTATGCCAAAGGAGAGCTTGACATTGCATACATCACTTCCAGGATAATAGGTAGGTTCAGGCCTGAAGGGGGAATAGTTCACGGCTGTTGGTACCTCTCTGTAATCTGACTCTACAGGCTGACGTTGGGACTTTAAGGCTAACGTTCCATTACAATGCCAGGGGGAGCTCTGCATTGTTGGAGGTGTTGTCCTTTGGATGAGATATTAAACCGCGGTCCCATCTGTGCTTGTTTAGAACCCTCGGTGCTGCTTGAAAAGAGAAGTGAGTTTCCCACTCTCTTCCCGGTGGTATCCTGGCTGACCATCTCCCAGTTAAATCAGTCATTCACTTAATGTTTTTTGTGTGGGGCTTCGCTGTGTGCAAATTGGCTGCTGTGTTTGCCCACAAAGTGCTCAGTCACTACATTTTACAGCGAGTCCTGGTGGGACCAAGTGATAGGGTGCTAGTGGTTTGTGCGCTCGCCTCGCAAATGAGAAGACCCTGGGTTCGATTCCTGAGCGGAGCAAAACCTTAAGCCAGTTTCCTTACTCCACACGCCTCTTGTTTATCCAGCAGTAAGTAGGAACCTGGTTCTTCGTGGATTAGCAGATAACTTTCTGGGAGTAATAATCACTTCCAAAAAAAAAATTGTTTACTTAAATCCACCACTGTTTGTGAGACAATGCCGAGCGCAATTGGTTGCCGCATATCACCCACAAAATATACAGTGACTACACTTTATAGTATATTCTGTGAAGCGCTTTTGAAACAATATGAAAAGGCTCTATATCAAATGCAGGGATTATTGTTATATAGGGATTGTGACTGTTGGCTGTGTTTGTGACTGTTAGTGATGTCCTATCCTGCTGACGGAGTGGAACTCAGCTTCAAGAATCACATTGATGACGTCCGGGCCTTCTTAGACTCCCGACATCTGGACCATTACACCATCTTCAATCTGAGTCAGAAATCCTACAGAAGTGCCAAGATTCACAACCGAGTAAGTTTGTGTGGGAGGATGGGGGGGAGGGTGGTTGGGGGAAGAAGAGGCTGCACAGTCAGTGGAGGTGGGGGCTAAGATTGTATGTGTTCACCTACTAAATGCACAGTTGGCACACTTTACTGTAAATTCTGTGAAGCGATTTAAGACATGTCAAATGAGAAGATTCTGATGATGATCGATGTTGGATTAGGATTCCTCCCTCCCTCCCTCCCTCCCTCACTTTCCCTGGCATGCTGGTTGAAATGACTGACTCCGCGCTCTCTCTGTCGCTCTCTGCAGATCTCTGAGTGTAGCTGGCCAGCAAGGCAAGCCCCCAGTCTACACAACCTGTACGCAGTGTGTAAGAACATGCACCACTGGCTCCAGCAAAACCCCAGGAATGTTTGTGCCATTCACTGCATGGTGAGTGATCCAGGGAAGAGCAACACCTTTATACAAGGACAGTCTGGTACTCTTGCAAAGAAATGTCTTGAACTTTGATCCAGGTCCAGGCCGATGTTCCAGAGCAGCTTGGGTTGGGGCGGGGGGAGGGCAAGAGACATTGTACTAAGGATGAGACATTGAACTGAGGTCCCGTGATCTTGAGGCACTATTGGAAAAGAGAAGAGAGTGTCTCTCTCTCCTGGTGTCCTGCCTGACAATCTCCCAGATCAATCGCTTGTTCACTTCATGGATATTTGGATTGCTGTATGTAAATACACAGTCACTACACATGTCAGGAATTCTCTGTGAAACACTTTGAGATGTTTTGAGCGCAACATTTGGAGTCCTGTAGCATAGTGGTTAGAGCACTTGCCTTACAAGCGTAAGGACCTGGGTTCGATTGCCGGGCAGGGCAAAACTTAAGCAAATGTCCTCGCTCCAGACACCTCTATTTACGTAGCAGTAAGTAGAAACCAAGTTGTTAGTCAGAAACCAAGTTGTTAGTCGATTGGCGGATTGCTTTTCCAGGGTAATAATTCCTTAAAAAATTAATAAAGATAATAATAATTTGGTCACTCAAACCACGAGTGTTTGTGGGATGCTGCTGTGTGCAATTGGTTGTGCAATTTGCCCACAAAATATGCAGTCAATTCACTTTACAGTATACTCTTTGAAGCGCTTTGAGACGTCTTGAAGGTTTGATAAGGCGCTGCATCAAATGCATTATATCTGAAATTTACAGAGGTTTAAACCCAGTCTTGTGTTTTCTGGCACTGAATTGTCATTGTAGTGTATAACATATAATATCAGTCTCTCGCTTCACGGATGTTTGTGGGATGTCGCTGTGCACAAACTGGGCCGCTGTGTTCGCTTACAAACACACAGTCACTACGCTTTACAGTGAAATCCCGTGAAGCGCTTTGAGACGTGATAAGGCTCTGGTTCATACTACAAGGATTATTTTTACTGTAATCAGAGATGGAGTTTGACAGAGTTTTTCCCCATATCTTTGTGGCTCCAGGATGGCTGTGCTGCCTCTGCTATATTAGTCTCCGCGATGTTCTGTTTCTGCCACCTCTTCTCCTGCCCAGTCCCTGCCCTCCAGCTCTTCAACGTCAAGAAGCCAGGACCTGTCCCGTGGCCTTCACACAGGAGGTAAGTCTGGGGAGAGAGAACCAGTGGGGGGAATGAGCACCAGTACAGATACGATGGGGAGAGAGCAGGGAATGGGATTACAGTAGAGTTGAAGGGAGGGTAGGCGCGGACACCATGGCAGTATTTAATGAAATTTATTCTGAATGGGGGGGGGAAATGGAGTACAGAGGTCTGTCTGATGTTGGTCGATCCTCTCAGGTACATCGGTTACATCTGTCAGATGGTGTCGGAGAAGCCCACGCTACCGCACACGAAACCCATCATCATTAAAACCATCATCGTCAGCCCCGTGCCGTGCTTCAACAAGCAACGCAACGGCTGCCGTCCTTTCCTCGAGGTCTTCGTAGGCGAGACCAAGATCTTCACCACGGTCCAGGACTACGACCGGATGAGGTACGTGCTTTCCTGGGAATCGCAGTGAAGAGCTTTATCTCGCCCACAAAATACACAGTCACGAAACTACCGTATATCCTGTGAAGTGCTTTGAGACGTCTCGAAGATGTGATAAGGCCCTGTATCAAATGTGGGGTGAAACCTTAGCCAACCGTAAAAGATTCTGTAAAAAGCGCAGGGAGCTTTTGCCAGTATTCTGGCCATCACCAGTGATACCGTCTCCGGGATTCCATGTGTAGGGGGGATTCATGGTTTGGAGACTATGTGGTTTGGCTACAACAGTCACTACTCTTGATAGCCGTTTTCCTGGGAAGCGCTTTGAGGTGTTTTGACTTTGCCGGATCAAACGTGAGAATGAAACCTCGGTCTCTCTGGCTGGTGGTGAGATTACAGCGATGTCTTATTGCGTCCTGTCACACATCCCGTGTGCATATCTCCTCCGCAGAGAACATCGGATCCAGGAGGGGAAGGTGGTGATCCCGCTGGGAGTCAGCGTGCACGGAGACGTGATCTTGGCAGCGTTCCACATGCGCTCAACGCTGGGTGGCAGGCTCCAAGCTAAGGTTAGCTTCTGGTCACTGCACCCAAGACTGCTGTGGGGGTCTCCTGCTGGGTGGGGTGGGGGTGAGGGTCTTGTGGTCTAGCGTTGAGGGCCAAGGGATCTCTGTGAAGCACTTGTGGTGTGAGGAAACATGCTCTGGAGGGGGAAGGTCTTGGGCTCTGGAGGTGGTGAGGGTCTCGCTCTGGGGAGTGCGGGTGGTTGGGCAGGGGAGGGGAGTCTCATGCTCTAGGGTGGGGGGATGCGAGGTGTAGCGGGGGTGGGTGCGTGGGGGGGGGGGCGCACTGGGACGTTTCATGCTCTGGAGACAAGTGTCCATATCTTGTTCCTTTAGGATTCACTTCCTTTGTTTCCAAAAAGTAAACAGTCACTTCACTTCACACTAATATCCTGTGAAGCGCTTTGAGACGTCTCAGCGACGCGATAAGGCACTGTATCAAATGCAAGGATTCTTATTACTATTATTATTCCACAGTTAACAAACACCCAGATATTCCAAATCCAGTTCCACACCGGATTCATCTCTCCCGGGATTTCCGTGCTGAAATTCACAAAGTGAGTTACTTGCCCAGCGTTCGAGTGAAGCTGTTCTGTAGACACAAAAGCAGCCGTGACTCTTGTGTGTCGGTCGTGAGATTCTGTTAGCGTGTGTGGAATGTTTACTGTACGGATTAAGTTATTAATTCTTCTTCTTCCTCGACCTCAGCCGAGCGGTCTGCGCGAGTCTCGCTCAGTCTTATGTCTGCGTCAGGAGGTTTGTAGATTCAAGCCAGGACAGAACGAGGGGTCATAGTCTTAAAATTAGAGCCAGGCCATTTAGGAGTGAAATCGGGAGCCAGTTTTTCACCCAAAGGTTAGTGGGAATCTGGAACTCTCTCCCCGAAAAGGTGGTGGATGCACGTTGTCAAGGCTGAGGTGGATAGATGTTTGTAAGGTCAGGGTATCAAGGGATATGGGACAAGACCGGGCAATTGAAGTTGAGATGCAGGTCAGCCATGATCTTATAGAATGGCAGAGCAGGCTTGAGGGGCTGAATGGCCTCCTCTTCTTCCTATGATCCTAAGCCCCAAATCGGAGATTTTGAGCTTGTAGTCCGGGCTGATGCTCCGGAGCAGTGCTGAGGGGAAGCGTCGCATTGTCAGAGGTGCCGTCCTTCGGATGAGACATTAAACCAAAAGAAATTTGGTCACTCAATCCACGACTGTTTGCGGGGACGCTGATGTGTGCAATTGGCTGCTGTGTTTCGTCCCCAAAATACACAGTCAATACACTTTACAGTATATGCTGCGAAGCGCTTTGAGACGTCTTGATGAGGAACTGTATCAAATGCTCTGGGACGCTACCCTGCTTGAGGGGCGCTATATGAATGCAAGTTGTTGTTGCATATGAAGATGTAAGAATTATTATTGTGTGTGTGTGAGCCCCCTCTCCCCACTGCCTTCCACCCCTCCTGACTAACTCCCAGCTCATTGTCCAAAAGACCCTGACCATCCAACGCCCTGGGACTTCTTTCCGACCTGACCCGCTATACAAGTGTGACTTGTTATTGTTGTGCTTGCGGCTGCCCTTTGACGTCTCCGTGTTTGTGGTGACCGCAGGCCAGAGCTGGACGCCTGTGATTCTCCAGAGAAGTACCCATCGCTGTTCCACGTGGTGCTGGAGGTGCAGGTGGAGGCCAAGGAAAAACGGATCGATTTGACCCCTCCCTGGGAACACTTCAACAGCAAAGATCTCAGCGCCAACATCCTCTTCTCCAGTCACCAGGAACATCAGAACACACTGGCCATGGGTAGGGCTTAGTCAAGTGGATCCTGTAGTTTAGTGGTTAGAGCACTCGCCTCGCAAGGCCAGGATCCATTCCTGGCCAGGGTGAAACCTTAGGCAAGTTTCCTTACTCCACACGCCTCTGTTTACTAGCAGTAAGTAGGAACTCGGTTGTTAGTCAATTGGCGGATCTCTTTTCCGAGGGTAATAATCCCTTGAAAAATAAAATAATGATAAATTGGTCACTCAATGCACGACTGTTTGTGGGACACTGCTGTGCGCAATTGGCTGCTGGGTTTTGCCCACCAAATGTACAATCAATTCACTTTTTACAGTAATACTCGGTGAAGCTCTTGGAGACGTCTTGAAGACGTGATAAGGCGCCTTATCGAATGCAAGGATTATTATTCATTCTGCGGAATTAGGCAAACTGGATGCGTCACTCCAGGGAGGGCGAGGGAAAGAGTTTGCATTCCGTTCCGACAATCTATCTCTGAGAAAATGGGCCGAGTGACCTCCTTCTGTGCTGTAACATTCCATGATAAAAAAATAATATTCTGTGATTTCCATGCGTAGGTGGGATGCATGGAATTCTCAGTTTGGTTGGGATATTCTTAAGCGTGGTGATGTGTTTCCATACGTATCAGATACCCTACTAATTTTCCCCCACGACAAAAAAACTCACACAGTGCTGGGGGGAAAGGCGTTGGGTTATGGAAGGCACTGTGTTTGGGATTAACGTGACGTTCAAACCAAGGTCCCATTCGCCAGGTGTTTGTTAACAGATCCCCAAAAAATCAGAGAGATCCGGGAATAGTCTAGGTCGGGATTCCACCCCCCCCCCCCATTGAGGAATGCCGTTGAGATATCCTGGAAATTACGCCTCTTTTGTTTTCGCTGCAGGTAAATCGTTGGCAGAGTCTGTTGATGTGAACATGCCAGCAGATAACGCCAAGGGCAGTGGGCAAGGCACTTTTTTTACCTCTCTGGGCTGGCAAGGTAATCCACACTCACTCCTGCTGCTTAGAATCATACAGCACACAAGGAGGCCATTCAGCTCATTGTGCCTGTGCCAGCTCTTTGAAAAAGCAATCCAAATTAATCTCAACTCCCCCGCTCTCTCCCCATAGCCTTGCAAATTTGTCCTCCCCCTTTACGTTACACCGTGTATACTGAGGCTCTGCCTGCGGCTCACTGGGTAGCACTCTCCTGCCGCAAATCAGAAGGTTTGTGGATTCGAGTCCTCATGTCGGGACTTCAAGCTCACAAAACACCTCAGTTTTCAGTAAAATAAAATCCAGCAATTTTAATATCTGAGTTCTTCCAAATACAGTTACAATAAATCCTATAACGAGAAGAATAATCTTTGTGTTGATACAGCGCCTCAGGGGGAATTCTTCAACGGTGTAGTTTTGTAGGCGGATAATAACTGTTTCATCTGTCATCTCTGGTGATGTCTGGAATGCACTGCCTGAAAGGTTGGTGGAAGCAGATTTGATAGTAGCTTTCACAAGGGAATTGGATAGGTACTTAAGAAGGAAGAATGTGCAGTGCTATGGGGTAAGAGCGGGGAGAGTGGGACTAGCTGGTAGCTCTTTCGAAGAGCTGACACAGGCACGATGGGCCGAATGATCTCCTTCTGGGCTGTAAGATTCCGTGATTCTATCCTATGTGTGTTTCGCACACAAAACATAGTCAGTGTATTTACAATGTATCCCGTGAAGCGCTTTGAGACGTCTCGAAGACCTGATGAGGTGCTATATCAATTGCAAGGATTATTATTATTATCACTATACTCCGTGAACACTGGATAAACCCTCTGGGAGGCTACCCCGAGTGAAGGGTGCTGTATAAACACAAGTTGTTGTTGTATGTCTATGAGACTGAGATTTTTTTTCTCTTCTCTCCCCTCAACCAACACCCCCCCCACCACCCACACGATGCCCAGAATCGAGAGGAGAGAAGACTGCGGTGCCCGGGAAGGATGACCAGGCAGCTCTGGTGAACCAGGACAGTGAAGCATCTGATGATGAGTTGCTGTCTCTGTCCAGCCAGCACAGCGCTGCCAGCACTGAGCGACTGCAAAGCACGCCCAAAGGAGGCCGTCGGCAAGAGCCCCCGCTCCCCCCGGCCCAGGAGAGCGTGGACCTACTGGGGCTGAACGGGGGCCCCGGGGTCACCGAGGGGCCTGGGACCCCAGCCCAGGGCCGGCCACCGCAGACCAACTCGGACCTGCTCAGCGACCTGTTCGGCAGCACCTCCTCCCTCCCCTCAGCACAGGGCGGTGGTGGGGGTGGGGGGGCTCCAGGCTCGGCTCACTCCACCCCTCGCAAGTCAGCCGCCTCGGCCTCGCCCTCGCCATCCCCCTCCCCCAGGATCAACGAAGGTAATGCGCCCGGGAGAGAGAGAGAGAGTTCGTGACGCAGTGCAAAGCCCCTGCTCCGTGCCCCCTCACCCGGCCGGGTGGGGAAGGGGAAAGAGACAGCCCGCACCCCAAAAGTCTGCCCTCGCCCTTGGGATAAGTCCTGTAGCTTAATGGTTAGCGCGCTCGCCTTGCAAGCAAGAGGACCAGGGTTCAATTCCCCGGACAGAGCAAAACCTCAGGCAAATTTCCTCTGTTTACATAGCAGTAAGTAGGAACCCTGTTGTTAGTCGATTGGCAGATTGCTTTCTGCAATAATAATCCCTTGATAATAAAATAAAAAGCATGTGCTGTGAAGCACTTTGAGATATCTCAATTGCGTGATAAGACGCTACATCAAATGCAAGGATTATTATTATTATTATTATCCGTGCCTCAGATACCGGAGTATAGCCACTATGGCTGTGATGTTGGTAAACTCTATGCTTGATGTAACTATTGGTGCCTCCATTCCCTGCACTTCCACACCCCCCGCCACCCCGCAGCACCCCACCCTCTCCTGCTCTCACGCTGCCCACTCCCACCCTTCATTCCACAACCCCCCCCCCCACACAGCCCTGCCCGCTCACGTGTCTGTCAGCATCGGACCGCGGTTCCTTTCTCACTGATGATTCCGCTCTTGCTGTTATGTGGAGAGAGGCTGAAGGTATTCTCCTTTCGCGCTCTGGGACCCTACCCTGCATGGGGTGCTGTATAAATACAAGTTGTTGTTGTTTCCCAGGCTCCGCATTTGATCCCTTTGACTCGCAGCCCAGGCCCGGTGGGCAGGATTTACTGGGAGTGTTCCTGAACCGGAGCGGAGCAAGCTCGCCCGTCACACAGCCGGACCCCTTCCTGCCCCCACCAGCTCGCACCCCGTCCCCCACTCCCCCAACCTCCGGCTCTGATCCCTTTAACATGGGTAAGGATTGTATACCCTACCTCCCCCTTCCAACAAATAAAACATTCCAGGTTGGTGTTCCTCCCACCGTTGTCCATTGCCTCCGGCAGGCATTCCTGAGGGCTGAAATTCCTCTCTTTGCCTTTAAAAACTTTGTTTAACATTGGGGCAAGGAATTTTCCCACTCAGCTCCTGATAACCTTGAAAGCCGAAGCCCTAACGGGTAGGGTGGTCATAACTGGACAAGCAGTATCAATGGCAAGCTGGTTAGACTCCAGCAGTAACCTACCAACACACGCTCTGGGGTCCCCAAGCCTTGGCTCCTGCTACCCTGCACCTAATGTTTTTCAGAATTAGGTAAGCAGGAAGCGTCCCTCCAGGGAGAGAGAGAGAGAGAGCGCATTCCATTCCAACAATCTATCGCTGGGATTTCCGTGTGCAGGTTGGATGCATGGAAATCTCGGTTAAATCTTGGGTAATCTTAAGCACGGTGATGGGTGTCCTGGTGTCAATCTCAGGTTAAATTGTTCATTCCCTTCTTGGCTTAAAATTTTCGATTGGGGAGTGCGGGGCTTGGTCAGCTGAGTCTGGCGTGTGTGGCGGGACCAGAGTTGGGGGGCGGGGGTCTGGTGAGACACATTTCTTCAGAAAAGTCCTCGTAAGGGGGAGTGTAACGCCTTGATTTTACTCCTAAACCAGGCAGAGTGTCTCCCGTTCTACCCGGCGTTCCCACCGTCTCCATCCAGCAGGATCTGATGGGAGGCTGGGGGCCTGGGGGATCCAGTGCCCACGCGGGGTCTGGCCCCTGGCCGAGCCGCAGCGCCCACACAGGTAATGTTGGGCAAAATGTTGGGCAAGTTTCCTTACTCCACACGTTTCTGCTTACCTAGCAGTAAGTAGAAACCCAGTTGCTGATAGATTGGCCGAGTGCTTTCCAGGAGGTAATAAAAACATTTTTTTTTAAAAAAAACACTCTTACCTCACAGCCCTGCAAATTTTTCCTTTTTAAGTACGTATCCAATTCCCTTTTGAAAGCTATTATCGAATCGGCTTCCACCAGGCAGTGCCTTTCCAGACCGTAACAACTCTCTGAGTAAAAGAATTCTTCTCGTCTCCCCTCTGGTTCTATTATCAATTATCTTAACTCTGTGGCCTCTGGTTACCGACCCACTTACTCGCCACAGGATACAGTTTCTCACTTTCTACTCCCTTATAAAATCCAAATCCCTTATCATTTCTAACACCATTACCAGTTGTTGATGTCGATTACCAAGTTGCACTGTTTGCTTCTCCTGCCAGGCGGGATTGGGGGTGGCAGTCGCTCAGCCAACACCAGCCCCACCAGCTCCGTGCACAGCACTCCCACCCACCAGCCCAAGCCACAGACACTGGACCCCTTCGCTGACCTGGGGGGACTGGGTGCCAATTTAACAGGTAAACTCTTGACGGGTTCTCTGTGAAATGGAGGGACCAGCTGGATGTGCATGGAGCAGGGAATGGGATGGTGGAGAGCTCCAGTGGGGGAGCCAGCACCAGCAGGGACACCATGGGTAAATGGGCTCCTGCTGGGATGTAATGTCTCACTCTTGCCTGTAGGGGGCTCTACATTTTCCAGCAAGCCCACCACCCCCACAGGCACGGCGAGTGGCTCCTTCCAACCCATGGGGTCTCCGCAGAGGCAGTCTCCTCAGCCAATGGGAGGCGGCTCCTGGCAGCAGGGGACGGGATTCGGGTGGCAACAGGGGGCATCGTCGTCGTGGCAACAGTCTCCAGCCAAGCCCCAGCCGGTACCCCAATCCTCACCCCAGAACAGACCCAACTATAACGTCAGCTTCAGCGGTGTGATGGGGGCGCGGGAGGAGCGCGGACAGCGCCCACACCCTCCCGGATTTGGTAAGTGTGCGGTAACTGGGCATTTATTGGTGGATGGGGTGGGGGGGGCGGGGGGGTAAGTTACCACAAGGGGCTATTATGGTACTGTGGTCAGGACCACAGCAAGAAACCACAGCCTTGGCGGTCCATAGAGTTCCTCTGTCAATTGCCTTTAACTGGCTACTGCGTTTCACCAACAAGGTAGACGGTCACTGCACTTTACAGTATATCCTGGGAAGCGCTTTGATGAGCCTCAACAACGTGATAAGGCGCGATATCAAATGCAAGGATCATTATTATTTCCCCCACCCCACCGTTGTGTCGGTGTTTTCGCTGCCACTCAGCTCCTGTTAACCCTCCAAGCCAAAGCCCTGATGTGTAGTATGTTCCTCGCTGGACAAGCAGCGGGAAAATATAGCAATATCAAGGATTAGCTGTGCAGTTTTACGTGGTTAGAATACCCAGATGCACACTCCAAGTCTTGGCTACTTATCGAATGGCTCGAGCAGCTGAATGGCCTACTCCTTTTCTTGTGTTCCCTCACTACCGTCTCTTGGTTAATTTCAGGAACTCGGCCCAAGATGGCTGACAGTAACTTCGATGACCTGCTGTCCAGCCAGGGCTTTGCCTCGCAGAAAGACCGCAGAGGCCCCAAGACCATCTCGGAAATGAGGAAAGAGGAGATGGCGAAAGATATGGACCCTGAAAAACTAAAGGTGGAAAAAAAATAGTTGTCTCTTTGTCCGTGCTTTCAGCCTCTCTGCCCCCACCCTTTGGAACTGCATCCCACCATCCCTTCATCTCGCTCCCTTTCTTGCCTCCTTCAAGGCACGACTCAAGACCCTACTTTTCGACCGTGCCTTCAGCCGCCCTCCTTTCCTCTCTGCCCTCCTTCATCCCAACCCTGTCCCCCCCGACACTCGAGTCCTGATCCCCGACTGTTCAGCGACTATTCCCCCAGTGTGTGATAGCCACTGGCTATGAGTGTAACTTATGTGTCTGAGCTGCAATGGTCCCGGTGGATTCCCATAACTTAGTGGCTACAGCACTCGCTTCGCAAGCGAGAGGACCTGGGTTCAATTCCCGGACAGGGCGAAACCTTAGGCAAGTTTCCTTACTCCACAGGTCTCTGTTTGCCTAACAGTAACTAGGAACCCAGCTGTTAGTCGATTGGCTGATCGCTTTCCAGGAGTAATAATCCATCCAAAATAATTATATAATAATTATTTATCTATCACAGTATATTATGTGAGAAGCGATTTGAGACGTCTCAAGGATGTGATGAGACGCTGTATCAAGTGCAAGGATTATTATTATTATTATTATAATTTCAGCTGCTGGACTGGATCGAGGGGAAGGAGAGGAATATCCGGGCTCTGCTCTCCACGCTGCACACTGTGCTGTGGGAGGGGGAGACCAAGTGGAAGGTGGTGGGAATGGCAGATCTCGTTACTCCGGATCAGGTGAAGAAAGTCTACCGGAAAGCTGTGTTAGTGGTGCATCCAGACAAAGTAAGTGCTTTGACTCCCGGAATACTGGCACTGAGAATCTGTTTGGGGTCAACTCAACGGAAGCCAATTCCATATTCCTGCAGCTGTTGCAAAGCCCTTGCCTTTGCCATTGGGATCTTTTTAATGGGAAGCGTTGATTATGTAACGCTTTTCTGGCTTTGTTTTTCATTTTCTTTCTACTTTTGGAATGTCCCTTAGTGTAAGGGATTAGAGCCTCGCCTCGCAAGCGGGTCCGATTCCCGGGTGGGACGAAACCTTGTACAAGTTTCTTTACTCCACACGCCTCTGCTTACCTAGCAGTAAGTAGGAAACCGGTTGTTAGTCGATTTATTAAAAAAAAAACCCCGATCCCTTAATCATTTGGTCGCTTAATCTCCGACTGTTTATGGGATACTGCTGTACGCAATTTCGCCCACAAAATAGTCAATTCATTTTATATGAAGCGCTTTGAGAATTCCCGAAAACGTGATAAGGTGTTATATCAAATGCAAGGATTATTATCTTATTTTGCTGCAGGCCCGAGATCATTGATAATAGCGTTTATTGAACTCTCTGAGACGTTACTCTGCACTACATAAATCCAAGATGTTGTTAATGTCTCTCTCTCTCTCGCTCTCTCTTTCTCTCCTCTCCCATCTGCAGGCCACTGGTCAGCCATACGAACAATACGCCAAGATGATTTTCATGGAACTGAATGACGCCTGGTCAGAATTTGAGAACCAGGGTCAGAAACCTCTGTATTAACATCCTGCTGCTAATGTTCCCTAATTGCATTTCTGTGTTGCCGGTTAATTCTCTGTAACGTGTGCTGAACGTAAGATTTCTTTCCTTTTTTCCCTATTTTTATTTTAGCTTTGTCGGTGTACAGCGTTCCTGTTCGGTAACTCTCTCTCTCTCTCTCTCTCTCTCTCTCTCCATCTCTCTGCCTCACTCATTCTTTCTTATTTTGTATTTGGTCAGCCGGGTGCCTGACCCATGCCAAAATCCATCACTGTGCTTAAGAGTATCTAAACCAGACTTAATATCGTGAATCCCACCGAATTCCCAGGTATTGGATTGGAATGGAATTTGCACCCATTCGCCCCCAACCCCCTCCCCCAACCTAGAGGTCACATCCTGCTTACCTAATTCCCGAAAATATTAGGCGCAGGTCGGCAAAAGCCACGGCTTGGTGACCCATAGTGTGCTTTGGAGTCTAACCAGCTAAAACAACATAGCTTGCCCGTTGAGAGCACTGCCTGGCAAGCTTTCCTGCTGTTTGTCCACCTAGGATTACCGTACCCGTTAGGGGCTTTGGCTTGCAGGATTAGCAGGAGCTGAGTGAGACGATTAGCTGCCCCCAGTGCCCTTCCAAGTCCTGCCGACGTGCTGGGCTGTGCTGCCATTAAGCAGTGCCCTGGAGTAGCCCTGGTCCAGGAACTGCGGGGGGAGGGAAGGAGCATAAGTGGGAGCTACAGCCCCAGCCAGTTCCTGTTGAGTATTTTCCGAACTCTTGTTTTCCAGTTTGTGTGTGTGAGATGAGATGCCTGGATAGTCTCCTTGCCTCAACTGCCCTCCCACCCCCACACCTCTCTCTCTCTCTCTCTCTCTGAAATGCATTGCATGTGGTTTTGAAAAGTCTCCTCTTTGTTGTTGTTCCCCCACCCCGTGCAATGTAAAGTGTTATTAATTGCTGGACGATGTAACATTAGCAGACGGACAGAAGACTGTTAGACTAACCTAGTAATGGTTAGTTTGCTAACCGCTCGGTGAGCAGTGTGAGATTACGTTTGCCGGTTGCTAAATTTACCGGGTGGACACTGGCCCCTTTGAATCTCCTGACACAGTGATTTCCCCCCACCCTGTTTCCTTAAAAACACTCCTGTGTTCCGAACTAACTAAAATACACAGTCACTCCTCCGCTGCAAAGTGTATCCTGTGAAGCACTTTGAGACCTCTCGACGACATGATAAGTTGTTATATCAAATGCGAGGATTATTATTATTATTATTATTATTGTTAAGTCTAGAGAGAGTCTTGTGTTTTGTGGTGGAGCACTCACAATAATGGAGTGATTACAGAGCACAGAGTTACTCTGACACCTGCAAAGTGAGGGGCAGGGGCTAGAGTGACAGTGTAGTGCAGACAGTGCAGACAGCACTTGGGTTATGCAGTGAACTTGCCGCTCCAGAGAGAGCTGCTAAGTTCATTTTTTCTTATGCAAATCTTTCCATTTTGTTTACATGTTTTGAAGACACTTTATTCAGTTTTGCAGAGAGGTTGAAGCGACCACTGTTTTGGTTCGTGCACAAACAAGCACCCATTTACGTACTCAGCCGTTCGCCTGGTGGGCTGTATGGGCAGACGCGTTAAAATGAACCATTTCACTTTCGATGCCCGGGAGATGCTGAGGTGGGCTGTTCTTGGTGAACTCTTTTAGTGGTGAGGGGGGGTGGGGGGGTGTTGTGGAGTCCTGTAGCGTAGTGATTAGAGCGTTCGCCTCGCAAGAGAGGATTTGGGTTTGATTCCCGGGCAGGGCGAAACGTTAGGCAAGTTTCCCTACTCCACATGCCTCTGTTTACTTAGCAGTAAGTAGGAACCCGGTTGTTAGTCAATTGGCGGATCGCTTTTATGGTGGGTAAAAAAATTTTTTGGTAGCTCAATCCATGACTGTTTGTGGGACAAATGCTGTATGCATTTGGCTGCCACATTTCGCCCACAGAATTCACTTTACAGTATATTCTGTGAATCTCTTTGAAATGTCTTGAAGACATGATGAGGCTCTTTATCAAATGCAAGGTTATTATTATAACCCCACAGGGAGTGTGTTGAGTTTCTGATGCAATCTGTAATTGCTCGTCTGTCGTTTTCCCCCCCCCACCACCCAACCCCCCCACCACCACCACCAAGAAGTTATTTGAAATGTGATGATTGAGAAACGATGTCTGAGAAACGAGGTCATTGTCCTCATTCCACCTTGTACATAAATCCTGTCTCTTGCCTGTAACATGGACTAAAATAAACCTGAAGCATTATTGCTGGTGTGGTGCATGTGTCCTTTTTCCAGATCAAAGGTTTCAATAACAACAAATCGCATTTACACAGCACCTTTCATGTCGGGAGGATGTCCCCAGTTGCTAGACCGTGAAGAGTTTGCACCTGAACTGGGGGTTAGGTCAAGATGAGTGGAGGTGGGAAAATGACCGAAGATGCAGTCAAGGAGGAGGGAGTGGAGGGCTTTAAAAGTGAGAAGGATCTCAAACGCTATCCTCTAGGGGAATGGGGGGGGGCAGTCGAGTCGGGTGAGGATGGGGGTGATCAGTTTATGGGAGAGGACACGAGCTGCAGAGTTCTGATTATCTTCAGCTTGTGGAGCGAAGAGTTGGGAAGTCTGATGAGCAGAGAGTTAGCATCGTCAAGCCTGGAACCAATGAAAGTGACTTCCTTTGGATGAGATGTCAGCAGCAACATATACAGAATTCATATACAGAAGTGTCCTATACTTAGGAGATCTTGGAGCTCTTCACAGAAAAAAACAAGGTCTAAAAGTGTGTGCTTGTTCAGATAACAACGTGTATTTATTTAGAAGCCCTCACGCAGAGCGATTGAAATGGATGTTAAAAATCCTTGTGACGGTGTCGGCAAGAGTTTCTCTCTCTCTCTCCCGATGTCTGGGTCAAAAACATTCCCCCCACCCCCCCCCCCCCCCACTCCCCACAATAAAATCGCTGGCTCACTTCATGGGACATCCCTGCGTTTGCCCGCAAAAAAACGCAGTCATTACACTTTACGGCCGTGGATTTCCACATCCGCCGTATATCGACGTAACAAAATATTTATAACATTCACCTTTTTTTTTTGGGGGGGGGGAGGGAAAAAAAATAAAAGAACAATTTGGTCGCTCCGATCCACGGCTCGTTTGCGGGGGGACGCCGCTTCGCGCAGCCGGCCGGCGCGTTTATTTTGCCCGCAAAATACGCGGCCAACAATTGACTTTGCGGCACGCAACCTGCGAGGCGCCCGCGACACGTCTCGGAAGCCGCGATAAGGCGCCGTATCAAATCGCAAGGATTATTATTATTATTATTATTTATTATTTATTATTATTATGGAGTCCTGTAGCTCAGTGGTTAGAGCACTCGCTTTGCCAGTGAGAGACCTGAGTTCAATTCCAGGCAGAGGGCGAAACCTTGGGCAAGTTTCCTTACTCCACACAGAGCCTAATAATAATCCTCCAAAACCCAAAACAATAATAAATTGGTCATTTTCAATCCATGACTGTTTGTGGGACATTGCTGTGCGCAATTGGCTGCCGCGTTCGCCCACAAATATACAGTCAATTCACTTTACAGTGTGTCCTGTGAAGCGCTTTGGGACGTCCTCCCGACGTGAAAAGCGCTATATCAAATGCAAGGATTATTATTATTATTTATTATTATTTATTATTATTATTATTATTTATTATTATTAATCCGTCTGTTTTATAGGTACCGCACATCCTGCAAAACCCTTTCAGACCGCCCTGACCCTCAACCTCTGAGATTACGTGTACATTTAATTACTAATGTAATTGCTATATTTACATTTAATTACAGTTTATTATCCGCCTCTGATCTGCGCCCCTTCAGCCAATCAGCAGCGGCTCTGCGGCAGCTGCCGCGCGCTCATTGGCCGTCCCGCCGCACGCTGCCCTCCCATTGGCTCGCTCTGTCAGCCCCGCCCCCCCACCCCCCGCGGTGACGGCGGTGATTGGTCGCCGCGATCCTGGGCCTCCCATTGGCCCGCGTCCTGGGGCGGGGCCGCTGATTGGTTGCGCGGGCAGGGAGTGAGGGGGGGGGAGAAGAGGCTGGAAAATGGCGGGGATCAAAGGTAAGAGAGCGACACCGAGCGTCAGTCCCGGCCCTGGGCGATGACTCGATCACGGCTGACCCCCCCCCCCCCCCCACCGACACACTCACACCCCCCCCCCCCGGGAGCGACACACTCCCCCCCCCCCCCCCCCCGCCTCAGTGTCTGTGTGTGTCGTCAAAACCCTCCACAGACCTCGGCCCCAGACACACACACACTGAGGTCCAGACACACACACACACACGCAGACACTGAGGTCCAGACACACACACACAGACACTGAGGCCCAGACACACACACAGACACTGAGGTCCAGACACACACACACAGACACTGAGGCCCAGACACACAGACACTGAGGCCCAGACACACAGACACTGAGGTCCAGACACACACACACAGACACTGAGGCCCAGACACACACACAGACACTGAGGTCCAGACACACACACACAGACACTGAGGCCCAGACACACAGACACTGAGGCCCAGACACACAGACACAGACACTGAGGCCCAGACACACACACAGACACTGAGGTCCAGACACACACACACAGACACTGAGGCCCAGACACACAGACACTGAGGCCCAGACACACACACACACACAGAGGCCCAGACACACACACACACAGACAGACACTAAGGCCCAGACACACAGACACTGAGGCCCAGACACACACACACACAGACACTGAGGCCCAGACACACACACACAGACAGACACTAAGGCCCAGACACACAGACACTGAGGCCCAGACACACACACACACACAGACACTGAGGCCCAGACACACAGACACTGAGGCCCAGACACACACACACACACTGAGACACTGAGGCCCAGACACACACACACTGAGGCCCAGACACACACACACACACACACACACACTGAGGCCCAGACACACAGACACTGAGGCCCAGACACACACACACACACACAGAGACACTGAGGCCCAGACACACACACACACACACACACACACACACTGAATAATAATAATCCTTGCATTTGATATAGCGCTTTTCACGTCGGGAGGACGTCCCAAAGCGCTTCACAGAACACACTGTAAAGTGAATTGACTGTATATTTGTGGGCGAACGCGGCAGCCAATTGCGCACAGCAATGTCCCACAAACAGTCGTAGATTGAAAATGACCAATTTATTATTGTTTTTGGTTTTGGAGGGATTATTTATTAGGCTCTGTGTGGAGTAAGGAAACTTGCCCAAGGTTTCGCCCTCTGCCTGGAATTGAACTCAGGTCTCTCGCTTGCAAAGCGAGTGCTCTAACCACTGAGCTACAGGACTCCACAGGACTGAGGCCCAGACACACAGACACTGAGGCCCAGACACACAGACACTGAGGCCCAGACACACACACACACACACACTGAGGCCCAGACACACACACACACTGAGGCCCAGACACGCAGACACTGAGGCCCAGACACACACACACACAGACACTGACGCCCAGACACACACACAGACACCGAGGCCCTGACACACGCACACAGACACTGATGCCCAGACACACACACACACACAGACAGTGAGGCTCAGACACACACACACAGACACTGAAACCCAGACACACACACAGACACATTGAGGCCCAGACAAGAACACTGAGGCACGGACACACTGAGACACAGATACACTGAGGCACATACTCTTGAGGAACAGACACAGACTACGCCCTGGACACTCCTTCATTCCATGTTTACTTGTACATTCACTGCACTTGAAAGCAGTTCCCGGTGAAGCTGAGATGTTTCGAGGTTATGTTTTGCTCAACCAGGTGTCTTGACACAGGCGGAAACCCATCACCATGTTTAAAAATATCCAAGCCAAGCTGAGATTCCCATGCATCCCACCTACACATGGACATTTTGAGATACGACTATGAAAATGCATAATAATAATAGTCCTTGCATTTGATGTAGCACCTCATGTTGTTGAAACATCTTAAAGCGCTTCACAGAATCTACTGTAAAGTGAATTGACTGTATAATTTGTGGGTGAAACGCAGCAGCCAATTTGCACACAGCAGTGCCCCACAAACAGTCGTGGCCAAATTATTTGTTCTTCTGAGGGATTATCACCCCCCAGTTAGTGATCTGCCAATTAACCGGCTTCCTACTTCCTGCTAGGTAAACAACAACAACAACAACTTGTACTTATATAGTGCCCTCCATGCAGGGTAGCGGCTTAACAGTGGTGGAGCCTGGCTCCGAGCCGGTGGGGGAGAGGTGGTCGTAAGCACAGTTGAAGTGCAAGGTTTTCAGGCAGGACTTGAAAAAGGGGAGAGAGGGAGCAAGTCAGAGGGATTGAGAGAGAGTGTTCCACAGTTTTGGGGTGTAGTGGGTGAAAGCGCGACCTCCAATGGTGGGGCGGAGAGTGCAAGGGATGAGCAGGAGGCAGGTGTCAGTTGAGTGGAGGTGCCGGGTGATGGATTGAGGAGTGGGAGGTCAGTTAGGAAGGTGCCAGAGAGTGAAGGGATTTGAACACAAGTGTGAGGATCTTGAAGTCAATCTGTTCGGTGATGGGGAGCGAATGGAGCCTGGCCAGAATTGGCGAGATGTGGGCACCGAGTTTGGTCCGATTCACTTTGTGTCAGAGCTCTGAACGAGCTGGATCTTTTGAATAATGGAAGCTGGGGAGATCGAGGAGGAGTGCGTTTTGAGTAATCCAAGCGGGAGGTGACAAACATGAACGAGAGTTTCGGCTGCATTTGGGGTAAGGCATGGTCGGAGGCAGGCAATGTGGCGGAGATGGAAGAAGATGGTCCTGGTCAGGGAGTCAAACCGGACGCCTAGATTGCGGACTGGCTCGGTGAGCCTGAGGGAGAGCCCAGGGAGGTTGAGGAGTTTAGATTCGCAGGAGTGAAGACGTTGACAGGAGCCAAACACGGGTTTGTGGAGTAAAAAAACTGGCCTAAGGCTTCGCACCGCCCGGGCGGGACTCAAACCCGGGTCCTCTCGCTTGCAAGGCGAGTCCTCTAATCAACATGCTGCAGTGAGAGATGTCGCGAAGACGTGCTAAGGTGCTATATCGAATGCAAGCATTATTATTATTATTACAGGACTCCACTTTGGCTGAAGCCCTTTGAGCTGTCACTATGAAAATGGATGCTCTTTCTTTCTCTTTATTCTCTCTATTTTTTTCTCTTTGCTTTCCTTGGATCCTTTCCTTCCTTCAGGAGAGGGAGTGTTGCAGAGAGCAATGCCTTTGGCCTGTGTTGACCCACGGCAGGCATTGGCTCCGTGGCAGATTCAGTGTTGCACTAGATGGCATTGCAGGACAGATGTTGGGACTCTACGCCTCTCCCCCCCCCCCCCCCCCCCCCCGCCCCGAATGGGCAGCTCGTCAAAAAGCTCGAAATCTCTGTTTCCTTGGAAACCAGTTCTATTAAAAGAATCCCGAGGATGGGCTGACGTGGGCTTTGTCTGTGCGTGACAGACCCTAACCTCAGCCAAAGTCACTATCTTGCAGAAATCTTTTCCACATGCACCTCTGTGTGTTTGCTGGTTATCTCTCCCTGGGTAGCTTATCACGTGTCTTGCCTAAATAAGTAAAATTTAATAACCTAATTCTTGCCTTTTTCCTTTTTTTAAATTAAGGGATTCATTTAGATGCCTTTTGATTCAGATGGACGTTTTAAGGGATTCCCCCCCACCACCCCCCCCCCCCCACCCCCGCCCCACTACTGTGTTCAAATAACAGTACCATTTTGCTCCAATTTCATTTGTTTAATATAATAATCCTTTCATTTGATATAGTGCCTCATCCCATTGTTGAGACATCTCAAAACTGCGTAACAGAATATACTGTAAAATTAATTGTGTATCTTGTGGGAGAAATGCAGGAGCCAGTTGCGCAGAGCGGTGTCCCCCCAAACAGTTGTCGACTGAGTGACCAAATTATTATTATTTTTTCGAGGCAATTATTATCCCCGGAAATGGATCCGCCAATCGACCAGCAACTGGGTTCCTACTTACTTACTTTCTACCCCCATCCTATGAAACCACGTTCCTTTTGCCTCGCTCCCTCACTTGCCTCCTTCAAGGCGCGGCTCAAAACCCTCCTCTTCGACCGAGCCTTTGGCCACCCTCCCTGCCCTCCACCTTCCCCGATCCCGAACCCCAGCTCGGGTCCAAATCCCTGACTGTCCAGCGCGTTGGAATGTCCCCCCGACCTGAAAGGTGCAATACAAATGTAATTTTGCTAAGAAACGTGCCGAAGGTTTCCCCTGAATCCGGGAATCGGATCCATATCCTCATCAAAGAACAGTTCCTACGCTGTCTGACATAACAACTATTTAATCGATATTCAAAAGGAATTAAGTTCATAAATCTGCTTGGGTTTAGCTAGGGAAAATATCCTGCTGTAATCTTTACAAGATTAAACTAGCTCATTTTTTATAAAGAAATGCCATTTCCAAATAACCTGCATATCCTTTGGCAAAGGGTAAGGCTCTCACAAAACCCAGAGATTGGAGAGGGAAGCGGGAATGATTTGAGAGGACGTGCTAAGGTGCTATATTATTGTAAGCAGGTTGACTGACGCCGGGGTTTGTACCGTGTTGGAGATTACCCTGCCATGATCTGTCTGGCAGCTTGTGTTTAATGTGCAATTAAAAGCCCATCGACTCGAGTTGGAACTTTGCAAGTGCAAAGCAGCGGCGTGGGCTTTCAGAGTGCCTCGCGGTCCCTTTGTACCCTTTGCACTGGTTACTTCAAAGGCCTTGTTGGCTAATATCGTGACAATGGAGTGGGGAGATGGAGCTTAAGCAATGCAGTGAGTTTTAATTAGCTCTTATGGAGTCCTATAGAATATTGGTTAGAGCACTCACTAGCGAGAGCAGCCGGGTTCTTAGGCAAATTTCCTTACTCAACATGCCCCTGTTTACAGTAAGTAGGTAGCAGTAAGTAGGAAGCCAGATGTTAGTTGATTGGGAGATTGTTTTCTGGGGGAGTAGTAAAAAAAATTGGTCACTCAATCCAATACTGTGTGCGGAACAGTGCTGCGCACAATTGGCTGCCGCGTTTCGCCCACAAAATATACAAAATATCAACGATGTGATACGGCGCTATATCAAATATATATGTGTGTGTGTGTCAAATATAAAAAATATATCAAATCAAAATAAATCAAATATAATAAAAGCATTACTATTATATCACTGAAGTAGCATAAAATGTGGTTCACCATTCATTATAAGTATAAGCTGAACCTGGGCACTCAAACTACATAAACTACAGCACAAGAGAAGCTTCATTGCAGCTAACTACTATAATTCCATTTCCCTGTTTTTCCCCCCTGGGCCTTTTTATATATCTCTTCAAATGTTTATCCAATTTTCTTCTAAATGGAATTGTTTTAGCTTTAGTAGCTACTTACACTCTTAACAGTCCTCAGCGTGAAAATGTCTCTTCTAACTTCCCACTTCACTCTCCCACCCAGTCACAATCCTGAGCTTATGCTCCCTTGCTGCTGATTCATCAGCCAGGGTGAAGAATATTTCACGTTGCATCCCTTCACAACCTTTCAGAGTATTCAATGACAATAATAATAATCGTTGGATTTGATATAGTGCCTCATTGCGTCTTTTGCACAGCAGTGTCCCACAAACAGTCGCGGACTGAGTGACCAATTTATTATTATTATTTTGAAGGGATTAATACCCCTGGAAAAGCGATTCACCACTTGACTAACAACCGGGTTCCTATATTTAATGCTAGGTAAACAGAGGCGCGTGTGTGTGGAGTAAGGAAACTTGCCCAACGTTTTGCCCAGTCAGGAATCAAACCCAGGTCCTCTCGCTTGCGAGGCAAGTGCTCTAACCACTACGCTACAGGACTCCACGTTGAAGGCTTAAATTCCCCCTTAATATCTGTGCTAGTCAAAAGACCCTGAATTTTTTAAAGCTTTTCTACTTATTTGACCATCCACCCGTCTTGGCTGTCATCCTCAGCTCTAGTGCCAAGCCAGTGTTGTTTATTGCCTTGAGAAATCCTCCCGACATGAAATGCGCTTTGCAAGTGTAAATTTGTATTGTTTGTAGTCCCATCTCCCAATCCCCATCTCAGTAACCTCGAATGGATGCAAACTGCTGCATTCTCATGTACTGATTGAAGCTTACAGGCTATTGCTGTTGAGTGTAGTTGCTGCTTTTGTTGAGAATCAGGGCAGCTGAATTGTGCAGAGTAAGATCCCAAAACAGCCATGTGGTCAGCGACTAGTTTATCAGCAATCTAGATAGTCACCATCTGGAGTTCTGTAGCGCACTTGCCTCGTAAGCAAGAGGATCTGGTTTGATTCCCCGACAGAGATAAGCATTAGGCAAGTTCCTTACTCCACGCCTCTGTTTACCTCGCAATAATTAGGAGGAACTCAGTTGTTAGTTGATTAGTGGATAGCATTTCCGGGGGTAATAATTCCTTCAAAAAAATATAATAATTTGGTCAGTCAATCCACGACTGTTTTTCGGACACTGCTGTGTATTGGCACCCGCGTTTCGCCTACAGTCAATTTACTTTACAATATATTCTGCAAAGTGCTTTGAGATGTGATAAGGCGTTCTAGCAAATGCAAGGATTATCATTATCTGTGCGTTACCACCATCCTCCCCACCCCCCCAATCTGCTTTCAGCAATCACGATGGTTAATGAAGTAATGATACTCCATTACTGATATTACTCCAGTACCCATTTGCAGGAGCCTGTGGATTTCAGTAGGATTCTCAGCATGGGTTCAGCTCAGTGATGCTGTCTTTATGTGTTTATTACCGCAAAATCAGGAATAGCTCCCGTTGAAAGTTAATCGATGATACAATGTGCAACGTCACAATAACACCACAAGATCTATTCAAGCGCAAACACTGGGTTAATATTTCTGACTGAAGGACGGCAACTTCCTCACCCCTGTATCAGTCAGGACTTTGAGGTAAAGTCCCGATGTGGGGTTTAACCCACGTTCTACGTCAACCCCTTTTGCCATCTTCAACAGAGGCAAATTGCCAACAACAGTGAAAAGCTTGGCATCAGCTGGGTTGTTTTTCTGCAGCCTCCAGATGCTACTAATTTAGGTCTAGTCTGCTTGGTGATTCAAGTGGATACGAAGGGGCCCTGTAGCCCCCTTTCTCCCGGTTCTCCTGGCTTAGTGGTGGAGTCCTGTAGCTCAGTGGTTAGAGCACTCGCCTCGCAAGCGAGAGACCTGGGTTCGATTACCAGCATGGCGAAATGTTGGGCAAATTTCCTTAGTCCACATGCCTCTGTTTCCCTAGCAGTAAATAAAAACCCAGTTGTTAGTCGATTGGCGGATCGCTTTTCCGGGCGTAATAATTCCTTCAAAAAAAATTGGCCACTTCAATCCATGACTGTTTGTGGGACGCTGCTCTGCGCAATTGGCTGACACGTTTCACCCACAAAATATACAGTCAATTCACTTTACAGTATATTCTGTGAAGCGCATTAAGACGTCTCAAAGACGTGATAAGGCGTATATTAAATTCAAGATTATTATTATTTTCCCTCCTCATCCAAAATGTACTCCAAAAAATTCTTATTAACCAGCTTCTCATCTCAGTGCAGCACCTCACTAAAGCGGATGAGCTACCACATCTGCCTCCGAGACAACATTCACGTTGTTTCTAATTCATTTTATCCAGTCAAAGTGCTCCCAAGATGTGTCTTTTGTGAGAGGCCCTGTACAACTGTGAGTACAGTGGTGTCCTGGAAAACCCATTCAGCCTGACTTTACAGGTGCAGTGTTCAATTTCCTGCAGCTCCATTGCTAAGTGCCCTTTGTATATAAAATATAACACACACTCTCAGCTCAGTGGCCTCTTCCCCTGCTGTTAACGTTCTTTGGTTCTTCATTGCTTTGTAATCTTCCTCACCCCTTTGTGTTACAGCTCTGGTTGGCTTGTCATTCAGCGGTGCCATTGGCTTGACATTCCTTATGTTGGGATGTGCCCTTGAACAGTACGGGTAAGTTTCCAAACGTGGACTGTACCTCTTTGAGCTCACAGTCTAGGCTGACACTAGACAGTCTAGTCTGACACCAGCGCACTACTGGAGGGAGAGACACATTGTCAGAGTCCCTATCCTTTGGATGGGACTTTAAACCTTGGTCTCACTTGTTTCTGCTCAGACAGACTTATTAATGATCCAGTGACATTTTTGGAAAAGGGAAGAGAGTTTCTCCCAGCGAACATTCTCTTGATGGGCGAACATTCTCTTGATTAGCCAGTTATTTGCCCCACAGCAGTTGGTGCGTGGTGCTTTTGCCTAAATAAAACAATCCCTACAACAACAGCAACTTGGATTTATGTAGTGCCCTTCACGCCGGGGGCTTTCCCAAGCGCTTTACACTATTCCAAGAAGTGCTACAAACCAGTATGACACGAAAAGCCACTATAAAAATGCGTATTCAATTTTGAACCCAATTAATAATAAAACGGTGATTGGTCAAATTCAATGGGAATGGCTGGAAGCAAAGTGGGAACTGCCTGTGGGTCTCTGGTTTCTAGTCTAACCCTCTGCCTTTGCCGCAGGGTTTACTGGCCTCTCTTCGTGCTGATCTTTTACTGCCTGTCGCCCATCCCGAGCTTCATCGCGCGGAGACTGGGGGATGACACGGACGCCGCGAGCAGCGCCTGCCGGGAGTTGGCGTATTTCTTCACCACTGGCATCGTAGTGTCCGCCTTCGGGCTGCCGATCATTCTTGCCCGTGTGGATGTGGTGAGTTACACTTCCAGCCGCTTAACTGCCCACTGCCGTTTCCTTCTGTTTTGCCAAAGTTACAAAGTTGGGAGGGCGCAAAGGTTGAGGCCTTTGCACTGTAGCGTAGTGGTTAGTGCACTCGTCTCGCAAGCCAGTGGACCTGAGTTAAATTCCCGCACATGGCAAAATCTTAGGCAAGTTTCCTTACTCCACACTCCTCTGTTTACCTAGCAGTAAGTTGGAACCCGGTCGCAAAGCAATTGCGGATCGCTTTCCGGAGGTAATAATCCCTCCAAAAAATAATAATAATTTGGTCACTCAATCCTCGACTGTTTATGGGACACTGCTGTGCGCAATTGGCTGCCGCATTTCGCCCACAAAAAATATACAGTCAAGTCACATTGCAGTATATACTGTGAAGTGCTTTGAGACAACCAGATTCAGGAATTCTTATTATTATCCTTCACTGCTCCTCTCCGCTGCCAAGATATCCAATGCCTTTACTGTAACGGTGACCAGAGTAACTAGACAGTCCTTGTGCAATAATAATAATAATATAATAATAATAATCCTTGCATTTGATATAGCGCTTTTCACGTCAGGAGGACGTCCCAAAGCGCTTCACAGAACACACTGTAAAGTGAATTGACTGTATATTTGTGGGCGAACGCGGCAGCCAATTGCGCACAGCAATGTCCCACAAACAGTCGTAGATTGAAAATGACCAATTTAATTATTGTTTTTGTTTTTTGGAGGGATTATTATTGTGCAAGGACAGATGGTAGGGGGAGAGGAGGTGGGGTGGGGAGGATGTTCGGATTGGCGGCTGAAGGCTGGTGCTCAGTTTGGGTGTGTTGTGTTACAGATCCGATGGGGAGCCTGTGGGCTGGTGCTGGCAGGCAATGCAGTCATCTTCCTCACCATATTGGGCTTTTTCCTGGTGTTTGGCCGAGGTGATGACTTCAGTTGGGAGCAGTGGTGATTTACCGGAGCTCAAATATCACGACTGTTTGACTGGTATTAAGGTTGAATTTTGTGTCTCTTCCCCCCACCCCCTCCCCCCCCTTCCCCGCCCTTTTTTTTAACAACCTCTCTAGCGCAAAGTGCAATATACAACCCTTTTTTTTATTTTAGCCGTCACGTATTTACCATCAACATTTAGTCTGTAACCCAAAGCTTGGCGGCTGGAGCTTGGTCATCTCGAATGGCGGTAGCCCGAGACTCCAGCGCCCTAGCATTAAATGTGGGGAATGTGCAAAGTGGTTTGTCCTGCCCGCTCACACCTCTATTTGTGTCATTCCGATCGAGAAGAGACAACATTTGAGAGACACTGGGAGAGAGAGAGAGAGAGAGAGAGACTGTTTCCTTGTGGCTGGGACTACACTGGATTTGGTGCAATTCCCAATGTAAACTCAAAACTAACGCCCAAACGTGAGTTTCTTTTTGACTACAGCCTCCTAGGGTGAGGAGCGAGAAAAATAACTGGCGGTGTGACCGTGCTCTGGCTGCCTATCCCAGCGTGTGCCTGTGTACAGTGGGGGGGTGGGCCTGGCTTGGGACCCAGGATGGGACGTCCCAACATGGCGACTGCCCAGCAAACAGGGCAGAAGGGAACAAATCGCCCACACCGTCCATTCACTGCCCCTGACCCTTGCTGCTAGCACAGGCTTGACTTCCAAGACACTCCTTCTGCAAACCTTCTGCAAATTCCTGCCTGTCCCAAATCCAGATGGCTCGAGAGCGAAGGCACACTTTCCCCCTACCCACACCCCCACCCCACACTCTCTAACGATGCTCTCTGATCTCTGAGCCAGTGTCGAGTGGCCATGCAGGCATTTATATGCAGGAAACAAAACCAAACACTCGTTCAAAAAACTAAGCATTAAAAGCCCTAAAAATATCTAGAACTTTTCTGTATTGGATTCCGAATGTTCTGCCCCACCTATTGGTTGTGTGGTACTTCGCTTGTGACCAGTTGCTGAGTTCTGTACAGAGTGTCAATCATTCCTTTCCCCCGTTTATTGACCCGCTCAGTGCACTGTTTCATCGTACCCTTTAGTTAACGCCAAAATATGGGTCATTATAGCGATGATTGCATTTGATATAACATCAAGAGTCACGGAGCACTTCACACATAACTGCTGTAAAGTGCAGTGACCGAGTATTTTATAGACCAATGTTTCAGCCAGTTTGAGCCCGGCGGTGTCCCACAAACAACCATGAAGTGAGTGACCCAATTTATTTGAGGGATTGTCGGCCAGGACACGGTGAGAGAGAAACTCCCTTCTCATATCCCATACGTTGTAGGTTCTTTAACATCCACCTGAACAGGCACAGACTGGATCTCGCTTTAACCCCACATTCAAAGGACGGCGCCTCTGACAATACAGCGCTTCTCCAGTACTGCACTGGAGCGTCAGCCTAGACTGTGAGCTCAAAGTATGAATGCAGCGCTTGAACCCACAACCTAATAGAGCTACTGAACGAGCCATGCAGACACCATGAACTGTGGAAAGTGAGGCAGACTGCGTAGCTCGGCTTGGAGACACCTGCTTTCTGATCAGCCGTTACTGTAAGCAATGCTATCAGTCCCAAGTTAGCAGTGGACCACTTTCAATGCACCGTTTTTCCTCACTACATTAAATTGCTGCTAAATCAGGATCTCCAAATCCTTTAATAACTATAAAAAAAAACACTTTCTCAATAGAGCTTTTTAACTGTAGTCTAGATCATGTTGCACTAACTCAGCCCGCCTGAATAATGCTGACCCACTTTGCAATCTATGATTACTTCAGAAGAGGCAGTGCAGTGATGGCCAAGCCTCAGCTGAAATGATTCAGTGACAAAACATTCTGAAGGAAATCGCCTTTCGATTTTTTTTTTCTATCTGATCCTTGTTTATTTAATGTCCAACGGGTTTCACGGTTCTGCCTGTCGTTTTTTTTTAGGCTGGGATACATCAATGTAGCAAAGATTTCTTGGTATTCTTACTCCTAGTTTCACAGTACTCGTCTGTGCTGAAGTCTGTAGAGACTGTGTGCGGATTTGTGGCCTGCCTTCTCTCACTGCTTGTACAGACCCAAGCCCTGGATTAGGCACGGGTTAGGTGTCAGAGCTCTGAGTGCCTTGTCTTTTTAATGTTACAACAAACTGAAGGAAATTCCAGATTATTTTACAAATGAGTGCGTTCGATATAAAGAATACACGAAAGGCCTTGACCTGTTGATTATTAATTACGTAGTAGGTGTAAGGGCGGTAAAATGAGGATTTTTCTTTGTTATAAATTAGTTTCCGTCACTGGAAGTTTCTGAAGTGTACTTTTAAACTTTTATATATGTCAACTTTTCATTGTGTTAAAAAATGCCAACCATTTTCAGTACTTTTTCCACAATGTGTATTAATTAATACAATACTAAATCGCTTTTTGTTAATAAAAAAACACTAAACTAGATTGATATCCCATGCTGATTCCTATCTCACGTTTGTTGGAGCTTAAACATTATGTGAATAAAATGTATGCAGAGATCATTGTGCCTCAGAGTTACACTACATTTATTTGTGTGAATCCGTGTGTATAGAACTTACGTTTTTTTAGTGGCTATGACAGCAGTGTCTCAAATCGCTTTAAAAATTATTCTTTAATGAAATGACTGTATGTTTGTAGACATCCATTTTACACAGGATGTGTGCAGTAAGGACACGCGATGAATGACTGATATCTCTGGAGGATTGTTGGCCGAGACTGTGAGAGAAGTTGGTAAAACGAGAGAAATACAGTAAAACGAGTTGACAGTATATATTTTGTGGCCGAAACACACACAGCAATGTCCCACAAACAGTCATGGATTGAGTGACCAAATTTTTTTTGAGGAGATTATTAACCCCAGAAAGAAATCTGCCAATCGACTAACAACCGGGTACCTACTTACTGCTAGGAAAACAGAGGCGTGTGGTGTAAGGAAACTTGCATAAGATTTTCACCTTGCCGGGGAATCGAATCAGATCCATACCTTTCCTGAACCATCCAGTAGAGCAGCCTAATGCGTAGCGTTCCCGCTTTGGGGGTGCGGGGTAGGTAGTTGCTGTTCTATCTTTCATCAATGCAGAATATTACTGATTTATTTTTTGCATTTAGTGAATTATCTTCATTTGCAAAAAAAGCCTGAGATAAAATGGCTGTTATGTGAAGTAATCAGTGTAAGTACAGTAATTTCCAGTTGCATCTCTGAATACAGACCAATTTGCCCCTTTCCCACTAAGTCTACAGAGAACAGTAGTACCGCTGTGCTGATTGCAGATGATGCCTCTTCCTGCTGCATTCTCAGTTTGAGGAATGCTGGAAGATCGAGAACAGTGAAGTTATTCTGGTCCCGATATTCTGAGTGCCTCAACAGCCTCCTCTACGACCACACCTTTGGCCACCCTCCTACCCCCTACATTCACTGCCCTACACCCCTCCTGATCCCAACCCCCTGCTCGGGTCCAAATCCCTGAGTGTCCAGCGCCTTGGGACACCTCGTGACGTGAAAGGCACAAGACAAATATAATTTGTTGTTGATGTGTTCTGCACAGAATCACAAGGAGATACAACACAATAGGAGGCCATTTCAGTTCATCTTCTCATTTGCTCCTGGAAGAAGCCGTTCAGTCCTAATCCCAGGTGCCTACATTTTCCCTATTCCCTCTGATAAACCTTCCTCCTTTTCAGTTTCTTGCCGAGCTGCTCAAGGCTAAAAAAAAAAAGCAGTTTTTATGTTTGCAGTTGTTGTTAGGAAGCAAGCGAACATGCTCAATCTCAAGGTTATTATTATTTAGTCAAATGCTGTGCACCTGTCTTACTTCAGCAGCAACTTGCACTCAGCAGCTTTGTGGAGTCCTGTAGCTCAGTGGTTAGAGCAGTCATCTTTCAAGCGAGAGACCTGGATTCGATTCCCAGCAGGGCAAAACCTTGGGCAAGTTTCCTTACTCCACACGCCTGATTATAATCCCTCAAGAAAAAAACAATAATATTCTGTGAAGCGCTTTGAGACGTTCAGATGACGTGAAAAGCGCTACATCAAATGCAAGGATGATTATTAGAATATTCACACGGGGCATGAGTGTCACAGTGCTTTACAGGCATGATGGCGCCGAGAAGAGAGAGGTTTCTGAAAGGGTCTTGAAGGGAATGAACAAGCGGAACTGATTTGGGGAGAGTTCCAGAGAGTGGGGTGGAGCGACCAAAGGCACGGACATCGATGTGGAACAGAGAGAGTGAAGAACGAGCAGTAGACGAGAAGTGAGGAGCAGTGGGAATGGTGGGGAGATTGTAGAGCAAGGGAGTGGGGGGCGAAAGACAGTGAAGCGATGCGCAGATAATGACGCAGGGATTCCCGGGGTCAGTGGATCCGGGCAAGAATTGTGTGTGCGAGGGAGAGGGGACTTTACTTCTGTCTGGGGCTGCAGACAGCAGTTTGGTCATGTACAGTCTGTGATAATAATAATAATCCTTGCATTTGATACAGCGCTTTATCACATCTTTAGACGTCTCAAAGCGCTTCACAGAACATACTGTAAAGTGAATTGACTGTATATTTTGTGGGCTAAGTGTGGAGCCAATTGCGCACAGCAGAGTCCCACAAACAATCGTGGATTGCGTGACCAATTCATTGTAATTTTTGTTGGAAGGGATTAAAATTGATCCGCCAATCGACAAACAACACGGTTCCTACTTACTGCTAGGTAAACAGAGGTGTGTGCAGTAAGGGAATCAAACACAGGTCCTCTAGCTTGCGAGGCGAGTGCTCTAAGCTGCAGGCCAACAATGGCTGGGAGAGGGAGAGAAAGTGAAAATGTCCTGACACGTGCATTGCAAGTAGTCGGTCACTTTTAATCCCAGCGCCTGCCAAATGGAACTCTGAATCAAACAAAACGTTGGCAAACCAGCATCTGAGTCAGTGAGGATTCAATTACATTGGAAAACAAACGCAGTCTGCATTTTAATTTGCGTCTCAACCTCGGTAATGTGTGAATGTGTGTGTGTGTGTGTGGTGCAAAAACGACCTAATCTTTTACGCTTG